AAAGAAGAAATCTTTGATGGCAAAAATTTCACATTTTATCCACATTGGTGATAACACATGGGTTTCATAAAATAAATATTTGAACGAATATATTTTCCAATTTAAACTAACTTATGTTTCTAATTACTCGTCTCTTACTTAACACCAATTAATTTTTACTGCAATCGTCTTTGACATTCATATATACAGAAAATGCTGAATTACGTTCAAATTTATTGCAATTTTGAAAGATACGACTTACTTCGTCGGCCTACGTTTTCCATTTAAAATTTAGCTATTTTATCAGTCTTTAGGGTATAAACCAGATGTTTCTAACTATTGCATTTTTAATGATAATGTTTAATAATTAAACATTTTTTACTACATTTAAACTGTCCATTAATTGCCTGAAATGCCGGAAGTTATTCGATAATCCTCTTTCACAAAGAAGTTGGGGGTTCGCTCATGCATAAACCTATTAAGTATTTAGAATTGAACTGCTAGTAACGAGCAGTTAATTTCCAAATAATCGTCAATTTGCAATTACTCAGGTGGTAGAATCGACTCCCACTTATCTTAGAGATCTCTGATGGATTGGCATTCTAGAATTTTGCAGATGCTAATTTGGGTATGTAATTCTCGAGAGTAGAAAGTTCAACTAACCAACTTAAATTATATTCATTTACAATGCCACGTTTTACAAATTATATTTAGCTCACCTAAAGGAGAAAAATATCGGTTGTTGTCCGACTTGAACAGATAGGTAAAAAAACGTTTGATTTTAAATTTTATCAGATAAAGGACAAAGTTCAATGGGACCATATTCGTATCCTTTGCAACTGTGGGGTATTTGGGAAGATAATTTCAAATGGACATTTTGCTTTTGAGCGATTGTGAGGCAGAGGGAGGGGGGGGGTGGTTTTGTAATTTGCGCTGGATTTCATAAACGAAATTTCGCGTTCCTTTACATTTTCATCGGCGCATATTTCTTAAGATAAGTATAGATAGATTGATATTAGAATTTGTGCACCACAGATTGCATAAGTTTACGATTGGATGGTGGTACCATCCACACCTCTATACATTCAAAGAGTGTTGATCAGATATTTCGCATATCTTTCCATTGCCAGTATTCTAATTTCTCTTACCCAAATGGTGGATCCTTGAAAAAAAGTGATAAAGCCTTAAATTATTTGACAGCAAGGCTACGCAATACTTTGTTGTGCACCGGAAGTGCAACATTGATACACCATCGTCGTCATGCCGCTTTTGCACCCAAACTATGGTATGATGAGATATATTGCTATTTATCGATTGGCCGTTGTTTGACCAATGGTATTCAGTCATTTCTCACAATCAAATTAATTGCTATCAACGGTATAGCAAATCTTCTCCTCCAAACCACAGCCAAACGCCAAGTGTATAAATAGATTCGTCGTCATTTCTTGTGTTGGAATGTGAGCAACTGTAGCATACCTCTATTACAGAATGCTTAACCATGCCTTATAATATTATCATTATTATTGTTTTTTTGAATTAAGTTATTTACCTGATGTTGTAGGTGACACCTTATTAAGCAACCAACACCTGTGAGGCCGAGACTATTTTTACCTCGATAGACAAGGCTCTAATTACGACAGCAGTAATCACCCAACACGAGTGGTAGTCCTGTTTATCGGGACATGAGGAAATGATTGGGACGTAATCAATTATCAAATAGTACTAGTGAGGGGGAGGGAGAGGTAACCAGGTATTTGGAACATCCACATCAATAACTACAGGCTTGTTGAAACTTCATGATACACAACCCAATTAACAAAACTGCATTTTAAATTAAAAACAAGAAATTCGCATTTTCATTTCTTTAGCATTTTTAAAGAATTCAAGATGGCGCAATGCAAAAAAAACCATCGGCATGCTGGACCTAAATATCAAGCTGGTTCCTAATTTCGAAATCAATTTCTCACACCCACATTTATAGGAAAAAAACTGGCACAAAATCAATTCGCTTAATATGGTACTTTAATGAAATGGCAAATGCACATGGCAAGTTAATGCACCGTACCAGTTAAGCAGCAAGATTGTGCTTGTGTTTTGGTAAAGCCATGTTTCTAATATTATTGGAAAAAACGATTAGGCATTGGCTTGTTTATGTGAATTAATATGATTTACACAACACTGCAGAAATTATATTTCTATGGGCCTCCTGCCATGAAATCGTATATGGAGTTTTATTGAAATATAAAATTATGTGTATAGATTATCAGACAGTGAAACTAAATACAATCGATAGCACTAAAGGTTTAGAAGATTCCAAATAATATTTGACACTTGCGTACCCATTCAAGGATATGTAAGTTATTTGACGGATTTTATTTTAACAACAAAAGATGAGTGAAAATATTTGAAATAATCTCTTTACTCGAAAATGGTTATTCTTAAAGTATATAGAATATTTATCAATATATCATAACCCTTTGTTCAATATTGTAACTGTTACTTATTCAAATACTTACAATGTTGGAAAGTGGAAGAGCATCAGCAATATAAACGCGACTAATAACATGAGCAACCGAAGATGTTTATAAATGACTATGGAAAATAATTGTATGGATGAATATTTTGTACATGTGTGCCTAAATACTCTGTCATAAGGCTAATACTGTCATGATCTTCCCTTCTCTGTAGAATACCTTAACAGACTGAAAGGTTCTCACAGAAATTGCATTAGGTATGGCTACCATCGAACAACTTTAATATAAAGCAACCCAAGTCACCGAAACGAAACAAAACACACTGTTTTTGCGTCAATGAATCGATTTACATTATGTGACATTAGCATCCTTAAATTCGTACAAACAAAGGGGAAGTAAGGAAAACTGAAAAATGAGGAATAAAATACTGAATATTGTATATATATTAGGCCAAAAAATTTATACGAGACTGAGAATTTATACGTTATTTCCATCAATATTTTTGGAAAACTATGCTTACATATCAACATTACTGGGAAAAAACATCAACTATATTTTAGGTTAGTCATAAATTTACTGATTAATGCAAGATCGATCTAGAATGTTTCGAAATAGTTTACATTCCACATATATTAATAACCATTATTGGCCACTAACAGTCGGATATATTTTCAGCGCGATACATGTTGTGCCATCTTGAAAACAATAATATAGATTTCTGAGGATTGGGATGTCATCTTCCATTCACACGACATTGACTCAATGCTCGGAAATATTTTGATTCAATCTTTAATATCTATATATCATTTTGAAAGTTAAGAATCTTTCACGATCGGAACCGTACTAAAATAAGATTTTTGCGAAAAAACTTTGGAAGGTATGACTCATTATTGCCATTATTTTAAGTGTATTCAAGTCTGAGAAGGACATATTTGTGGATCTACACAACATTAACACTTTATCATTTCAATAATACCCAGTAATATTAATGGGGTAATAATAATTCGATTATATTTGCATCAAGCGTAGAAATGTTTTGTGTAATAATGAAATTGAAATTGGAAAGGTAGAAACTTTAATAAATGTCATTAGTTCAGAATGACTGATACCGTATAAATATAATACGGCCTAAATGAAAATAAAATTAAAAATTCAGGAAAGCATTACCAAAGCTGTAACTTTTATGGATATAGAAATTTACCCTTAACGTTCCCATATTTTTAAATCTACCCATAACTACTGTTGCAAATTTACTTCAAATGTAAACATAGAATAATAGATATTGTTAATTACTTTATAAATAATATTGTTTTTTGTTTTCTAAATTATTAAAGAACTATTGCTTTTAATGATTGGTGCTATGTCAACCATTCACCCGTATTTTTGATTAGACTCATTTAAAATGGATTTGTTTCCCAAATCACTTATTACAGAAATCGACGTGATTACCAATGAAACCTTCCATATTCTAGATCGCGCTTATGGTTTCGAAAAGAATAAATTAGAGATAATGAGTTAATTCTAATGTTATTCAAAGTATTTATAAGCTTTGGAGAAAATTCTTGTTTAATTAGTTTGAAGATCGTATCATCTATAAAATTTGTTAATTTTAACATCTTAACTTCAACTCTATGTTCTGTTTACCCCCTCAGTAGTTTATGAGAGTAAAGTCATTTTCGCTCGCTTTATAACTTGATGCTTTTGTTTGTTAGCCATAGATGGTGGATATGTATTCATTTGTTTGAAGCTCACGTTGCGCCGTTTTTGACTTTGTACGTTGGGTTTTTGATCTGTGATTGGGCAAAACGTTTGGATAGAAATCATGTTCACCGACGAGTTGAGCTGAGATCAAATCTCATTTTTGTGTTTGGGAATCTTTATCAAGGTGCATTTAATTATGAACTGCGTTTATGGACGCAAATTATTGACACCGCGTTTAACGATAAAATTAGTGATACATTCAAATTGCGGATTTGATTGTTCTTGTAAAGTTTTTCAAATAATAAAAACTCGACTATTAAGAGTGCGTGGAAGTGGTCTATCAATCCTTATTTCATAAGCGCGTATCTTACACAGAGGCTTGCTTTTGATCTCAGATTATAGATCGGATGGCAAATTTAGATTTATCAGCCTGTACTTATTTCAAGGGTTGAAAGTAGATCCTTTGAATAACCATTCGCAAAATTGAATTTCCAGGAGAGGTGTTCGCATCCACCGATTCAGTACGTCCACTCATTTTGACGTAATTGTTAATAGGCTAAGTCGATGTGCAGTCGGAGACCACCGCTGGTGATAAAGCCGACCACCTTAAGCTTTTACTTCTCAAGCGACGAAAACACGCATCTACGACACACCACCAAAGTCCTAACAATATTAAACTCCTCCGAAGAAACCCGGAGAGCCCGACTGGACACATCCGGGCTAAGCCACTTCAAAATTGACGGTAAGTAAAACGATGGAAATGACACCACATAAAATATATACATTTACTTAAGGTATAAGAGGTACATATATACACAAAAAGAAACATTAATACATTAAGACCGCCTATTTCTTGGGGGCAGCCCTTTTGGTGGGCGTCTTCTTAGTCGCTGGTTTCTTGACTTTAACCGTCTTGGGCGTCTTAGCAACTGTCGATTTCTTCTCAGCCTTCTTAGCGGGCGATTTCTTGGGTTTAGGAGCAGGCGCAACCTTCTTAGGCTTGAGCCCAGACTTAGATTTTTTCGGAGTGGCCGACTTCTTGGCAGCCTTTTCAGCTTTAGGCTTAACAGTCTTCTTTGGTTTCTCAGAATCCGATTTCTCCCCCTTAGCAGCCAACTTGAAAGATCCGCTAGCTCCTGTACCCTTGACGCGAACAATCTTACCAGAGGCAGCGGCAGAGACAAGAACTTTGCGGACGTTAACCTCTGCTACCTTATCATCAATCTTGTAATGACTCTTAACATATTTTAGAATAGCCTGTCGGCTCGAGCCCCCTCTTTCTTTCAATGCAGCAATAGCCTCAACAATCATTTTTGCAAAAGGAGGGTGAGAAGCCGGGGCCTTGGTCTTCTTTGCCTTCGAGGCAGACGAAGTTCCAGCGGGAGCGGTGGCGGCAGCAACCATCATAAAATGACCTGGCAACTATCCAAATGCGCGTGGCAATCATGTATTTTGATATAAATGTAGCTGCTAGCTCGCGTCATGGCACACTCACGCGCGAGCGGCGATATCTCCGGCTTGCTACTTTATTTCTCTGAGCAAGCTGATAGCCTTCAATAAAAATCACTTTCCGCCTTTCTGAAAATTTATATCGAAGTCATTACCTAAAAATTCAATAGGAGATAAATTTCGCCACATGGTGAGGCTAAATTCAACAAAAAGTGTCAAATGGTGGATAGATTACGCAGCCTCATATCCACCGACCAACGCGAAAAAAAATTGTGCATTGTCAAAAAAATTCCGATTATGCGTTACAGAAATTAAAATGAAACAAATCGACTAATTTTTTAATGATTTAAAAACCAACTCTGTAAATTCTTGCATTAAGTAATATGCTAAAATGTAATGACCACAGTTAAGACGCATTCAAACTTCCCTACTAGCACAATTTCCTTTCTATTGTTAGAGACCTATCATTACTAGAATCGACATATCTTCGGTGATTCAAGGGTGGCATATCTGTTATTTAATTTCCGTGTAGCATATAGAGCTGGCTTTCCAGTTAAGTTCGAATATTTATAAAAATCGGCTACTTTGTTGAAGAAATCGGTACTTCTTTATTCAGGCGAAGTTACATGCGATTGGTTGAAATAACTGGTATCTCATAAGACGCATACTTACATATATCTTCATATCCGTGTTTTTTCCCGAGATATTTAAATAAAATTCGATGTTTCAGGAGAATATCAGGTCATCATTCGAGTTCAGCCTGAAGTTTTGTGAAATTTATGCTATTTATAGAGAACAGCTGACCTTAGGTCAAAGGGGTTTAATTGTCATACTATTGGCTGGAACAATTTAATTATTTGGAGTTTCATAGTAGCTTCCCCAAGCTCTTCGTTTCCACCAAATCCAAATTCATATATGAATTTTATTCATGAAAATATTTTTGCCGGTGAAAGTTATTTGACTTATAACAACATTTCAGAATTATCTCCAGTCAACTGTATCAGAAATTTCACCTGCTTGTAGGGCTCAATGGTTAATTCCTTATTCTTGCGTTCTTTATGTTAACTAAGTCCGCTCAAATTATTTATTTATTTATATCAAATGGCAGGCGTCTTGATGGTTATCATTAGCCCTTTAGTTGACTTCAGTCTTCACATAGGGGAAGGAACATCAAAGTGGGAAAAAAGTCGAGAGGGGGGGGGGGAACAGAAGAGTGCTTCAAAGACGAAGGTAGAAAAAGGTGAGGTGAGTACTGTGGAAGTAGTCGAATATGACAAACAATGGGGTGAGGGTAGTTTGAAGTGAGAAGTCAACTGCCAGTTAATAGACTTTTTTGCCGTATGAATATACGTTGCCCAGGGTGCACCACGTGGAGGTAAGTCTATCGCACACCCCAGTCCGCTCAAATTATTATTTGCAACACTTCAATGAAATTAAACTGTAACTTTTTTATATTTCGTTTTGAATTAATTTTCTTTATTCCAAACCACTGATTTTGGATTTCAATATTTGCGAGTCGATAACAAATTTATTTAGTGATACAGAATGGACACGATCAAATTTCTCTTTATTATAAAATACGCACCACCAAATCTTAGGTTATTAAGCAGTTTTTAATTCAGGTAAATTTGGTAGCGTTAATGTTTTATTAATTTTATTTTAATGAACGGCCAAACACACATCAGACTATCTAAAGTAAATCATTTTCAAGCAACATTGGAATCTGAGGTTTTCCATTTAACACTTCAAGGAAAATATTTTGATTTCACATATATATGTTCTTTCGAAACATTATGGAGCTCAGGATAAATGATGATACTTTAAATTCTTAGTTTCGAGGTTTAGAAAAGTTTAGACATTCAGTCAAGCCTGAGAATAGTTCATGATCAATTTGAATCTAACTTTAATCACTTAAATTGCTGTTTACAGCTTCGNCCCAGAAACCTGAGAAAGTTCAAGTTACATTTTGTCCTCAGGTTGAAGGAGAATTCAGCGAAGTATTCCAAGTGATGATTGGCGACTCAGTAGTCGGCGAAATTGTGTGCCAAGGTAAGTAAGATATCTCCTTATTTTAGTTTGAAAATTACATCAAAGTTGATTTTTTCCCCACTTACACTGAGTTCGTTAGACAATAAAAGGATAACATTTCGTCAGAATTTAAAGTGGTTATAGCAAAGTTTATTACAAGTAAAAGAAGGGACAAAAGATGCCGTGATTGTAAAGAGCAAACATTGGGCGAGTAAATTAACGTGTGAAAGCTAAATGTAAATACTGCATATTAATAAATACACTAAGCAGATACATTATAAAAATATAACTTAATTCAAATCATTAAGAAAATACCTTAAAGGTTTTTTCACTAAAAAATTAAGGAAAGTTATAGATTTTTATTCATTTATATCAAATGGCACACTTTTTGATAGTGATCATTAGCCCTTTAGTTGACCTCAGGCTTCACAGAGGGAAAGGAACATCAAAGTGGAAAAAGTCGAGAGGGGGTGGGGAACAGAAGAGTGTTTCAAAGATGTAAAAGAGGGAGACACAAAGGTAGAAAAAGGTGAGATGAGTACTGTGGAAGTAGTCAAATATGACATACAGTGGGGTCCTGATAGTTTGAAGTCAGAAGTCAACTGCCGGTTAATAGACTTTTTTGCAGTATGAATATACGTTGCCCATGATGCACCACGTGGAGGTAAGTCTATCACACACCCCAAGTTATAAATATTAAATATTCATGAATATTGAATTTAAGAAGGAGACGGAAAACGGTTGGAGTTAGCACTTTGTAGCCACTTGTGTGGCCAGATTGTTTCAAGGCTAGTTATATTTATTGAAAGTACTTAATGAACTTTAAGACACCTTTCTTATTGAAAAATACGCATTAAATGAATTTCCCAGTTATCAAATCGGTAATTAGCTTTTTCTAATTACCAAACATTGCCTAAACCCTGGAAAGGAAAGGAGTCATTAAGGTACTTACTCGTTACTAGTTCAGGTACTAATGGGAACAAAAATACATTTGCTTAATTAAATACCTTGAACTGACTGCCCATTCACCTCTATTTACCTGGGATGACAGTTGAATCATAGTCTATAGTAATACTAGAAGGTATAGTTGTTTATAAGTTAAGAAAAATGAAATGTTAATTTAGGGGTGGAATTGGTATTGGTCAAATCAACATGCTTTCGTTTATAAATCGGTCGGAGAAAGGAGTTTCCAGTTTTTATTCCGATACCACAAGGCATATCAAATTGCAAAGGAAGGAGTGAGATTCGGGCAAATTTCCACAGCAGCGTAAATAACTGGCGCCGATAGGCATGGTTAAACTATGTATGAATGCATGTTTAGAACAAGGAGAATCCATTTTTGTAGTTTTTCGTTTCCGGATATCTGTGTATGATCGTTGTCATCAATTAAAAGCTAAGATTAAGTTATAACCACTGGGTTTGCCCTTATTTGGTGTCCTTCAAATAGGGTGGCTTGCGGAACACCAAGGTCTGCAAATTAACTATTACCCGGTGTGACTAAATCGGGTCGATATTCTTTAAACCCACTTAAGTAACTGGACTGTGTTTGGTTTGATGAAGATTTCTGAATAGACTGAGATATCCTTGGTTTAAATTTACAAAGTCAAATGATACACAAAATTTTAGCATTGAATCTTCGAATATCAATTGAGAATTAGGGGTTTATGAAGAAGTCTAAATAAAACTCACAGGACTATATAGCAATTTTTACTCATCTACACTCCCTCCAAAATGTGTATTTGCACGAAACATATCAACGAAGTAAACGTGCTTGTACTATTTTGTTTGCAAAATAAATGGCCTCAGGGAAGGGGTTGATTTCAAGACTACTGGCAAACCATTATATTGGGCATTTGTTTCCACGACCAAACGTTTCACTTCACCAGTATTTCAATTACTACTCCATTTCATAAGGTCCTCAATTTTCACTTATAATTTTATTAACATTTTTCCTTTTGCGTTTTTTTTCTGACTTCTTCCCACGCTTATAAGCATTTATTTATGAAATATTTATTAGGTGTGTTAGTGCTCTATCTTTATTTAAATCATGCAATATTTAATACGACAATGTGCCAGAGCTATTCTGTTTCAGGTTACGGTGAAAAGCTTCGAGTTGGTCTGATAGAAGAAAGCGATAAATCGTCTTGGATCATCAAACGAAAGATTGACAGCCTTGGCTGCATGACAGTCCTCTGTACCCTCCCTGAAATCCACCCCAACTTTAGAGTGAATCAAAAGTTTATGCTGGTGAATGAGGGGTAAGGTTGATATTTTTAATATTCAAGTGCATAACTTACTAGAAATGTTAGTTTGCAATTGCATCTGGATGAAAATGAGCCAATTTCTGGACAAAATTCTTCAGAATTCCACGTGTCGATGGAGAAAACGATACTGCCTCCTAAAGAAAATGCTATTTTCACTGTCTCCTTCTGTTCTGAGAAGGTAAATATTACTTCTTTGGCAAAGTTTTTTTTCTTTTGGTCCGCAATCACCGAAGATCGTGAGAGCGTTCGGCTCTCGTAATTTTTTTTTAACTTTTCCGTCAAGCAGATTCAGGTTAACATCGTCTGTGAGTTTTCACAGTGTGGATAATGCATGCTATTAACTGAGAGACCCGTAAGTATCGCCTCCTAATTTTCCTTTATTTTCTCTAACTAAATTGATATATTAACTTTAAGACCCAACTCAACTACAGGTGCGTATCGATCTTCCCCCCCCCCCTATCCCCCCATAAAAGGTTAGATACTTGATAAATTGCCATAATTACCAATGGGTATGCATTTACAGCATTCTAACCAGACTACTTCTGCCGAAATTTTGTCAGAAACAAAGCATAATGATCAGTTCTTAATTAATTTAACTATCAAAATTATTTTTAGGGAGCTCACCTCT